TACTGGCCGGTTCTGCAGGCAGTGAGCTGCGGTCAGCACCCAGCAAGGGGCGATGAGGCTGCCGGCGCAGAAACTGTGGCCCCAGTACAGCGCGGCGATGTAGGGGTGCGCGCCGGGCAGCGCCACTAGTCCCCCGACGACGCGTTTCCAGGAGGACAGCCCTTTCCGGAGCCTCTGTCCGCAGGTGGCCGGGCCGGTTCCGTCCTTGGGGTGGCTCCCACGCATCTCGTCCCAGGGCAGCTCCAGTATCTCCTCCTGGAGCACGGGTGGCCTCTCCAGAATCTCCTCCCAGAGCACGGGGGGGCTCGCCAGAATCTCCTCCCAGAGCACGGGGGGCTTCGGCCTCGCGCCCAAGGCTGTGGAGGAGCCCGGGCTGAGGATAGGGAAACCCACGAGTGGATGTAACGTAGCTCGCCCCGTGCGCTGTTTGGTCTTCCTGCCCCTTCCCAGTTACCTGGGGTCTGGGTCGTGACCTGAGGCTCTGGCCATGCTGAACGCGAGGGTAGGGGGAGCTCCAGGTCCACAAAGGGTCCCCGTGATGGAGACTGGGTCTGGGGCGCTGCTAGGGTTGGGGCTTGGCATCGTGCTAGGTCGCAATATTCCCAGCTCAGCCGGTTGCCGCTCCACACGAAACACCACGGCTGGGTGTCATTGTCTGGGTTCCTGTCACCACGGGAGAGGGCCCTATTAGAGCTTGGGGAGCCCCAAAGGGCCCTGGAGAGGAGGGGGACGCCCTGCCCGTCCAGCACGGTACCGGCAGAAGGCATGGTGGCCCAGTCCCCGATTCAGTGCTTGCTCTGTAGTCAGGTTCTGGTAAGTGATCTCCGACGACCAAGACTGACACCGCGCGCCCGAGATCGTGGTCCCAGCAGCGCCTCGGTAGCCGAACCCAAGGCCCTCGTAGCAGCTGGCCTCTTTGTCTGGGAGAGAGGAGGCTCTGTCTCGGTCTCTCCCCCTCCCCCTCTCTCCCCTCCCTCTCGGCGAGCCCTCCTTCTGTGGAGGCGGGCCTTCTGCCTCCAGCTGGACCCGACTCACCCACGTCGCAGAAGCGTCCCGCGTAGCCCTCGGGACAACTGCACAGACGGTGACCCTCCGCCTCGAGGCAGCGGCCGCCGTGGAGGCATGGGTTGTTGCTGCAGACTGAGAGGAGGAGGCCTTGAGCCACCTCTGGGCCCCAAGACCCCACAGAGAGCTCCCCCCCTTCCGGAGGCACACCACCCGGCCTTCCGCCAGCTTCTCCCTCCTCCCGACCAGCTCCCGACCATTCACTCACCCCGGCTGGCCAGGGGCTTGCAGTGGGCTTGGGGGCCTTGGCACTGGCACTCGGCCACGCCTGCCGGCTCAAGCCTATGCCACGTTTCATTCTCGTGGAAGAACTGGAGAAGCTGGGGCTCGAAGCACTTCTCTGGGGACAAAGTGGTGTTCTGGTCTCAGACAGACTGGGGCCATGCCAGTCTCTGAGGGTCCTGGGACCTGTTCAGGCAGGGCTGCTCCTG